GATGTTTACTTGAGGCCTTTGGTGGATGAGTTGAAAATGTTGTGGGCCGAAGGAGTCCAAACAAGAGATGCATCAACCAACACTGTATTCAATATGCGTGTGATGTTGTTATGGACTATCAATGATTTTCCAGCACATAGCAGTCTGTCTGGATGGAGTGGTCAAGGTTATTTAGCATGCCCTACTTGTAAAGAAGATACATCTTCCATATATGTGACCAACAAGATATCTTATGTTGGTCACAGATGATTCTTGAATACAAACCATAGTTGGAGGGAGAGTCTATTGTTTGATGGTCAACCTGAGAGAAGACCGTGTCCTAGACGATTCAGTAATGCAACTATATTAAAGTAAGTAAATTGTCTCTCTGATCGAATTCCAGGGAAACATCCTGATTACGGGGGCAAAAAAACAAAGTGCGACGATGAAAGAAAAAAAAGAGTTAAATAGGACGCAACGAAGTATTTTCTTTGAGCTTGAGTATTGGTCTTCCCTCGACCTAAAACACAATTTCGATGTTATGTATGCTTCAAAGAATGTGAATGAGAGTGTCATGAATACTGCACCGATGAATGATAAAAGCAAAGACAAAAAAGAAGCAAGAATTGACTTGAAAAATATGGGCATTAGACCAGATCAATGGCCAAACGAGAAAGTCAAGAAGATGAAGAAACACAACAAAGAAGAAGACAAGAATAAAGAAATACTCCCACATGCTTCTTACTCTTTCAAACCAATTGATCGACAACGTTTCTGTCAATTCATTAAAGGAGTGAGACTACCTGATGGTTTTGGATCGAACTTTAAGAAGAAGGTTAATGATAGTGAATCAAATTTGGTTGGGCTGAACTCTCACGATCATCACGTCCCCATGCAACGATTGCTACCTATAGGGGTTCGAGCATGTCTCCCACCAAATGTTTCAAGAACAATCATTGAACTGTGTACATTCTTTAAAAAAAATTTGTGCACGGTCATTGGATGTTATCGACATGAGAAATGCCAGAACAGAAGTGGTGAAGATCTTATGCAATCTTGAGTTGATATATCCTCCAACATTTTTCGACATAATGATTCATCTTATTCTTCATTTACTCGATGAAGCCATTCTTGGAGGGCCTGTACACATGAGATGGATGTATCCTTTTGAAAGATATATGAAAAAACCTAAAAATTATGTCAGAAACAAAGCCAAACCAGAAGGTTCAATAGCAGACGGTTATGTTGCATACGAAGCTTTGACATTCTGCTCTATGTATCTTGTGGGTACACAAACTAAATTCAAACGTGTTGATAGAAATGATGACCCGGGCCTTCCAAAAAGGCAATTTTCTGTGTTCTCATCACAATGTCGAACAATGTCGGCTAAGAAAATCGTTGAACTTTGTAAAGAGGCCAAAAAATCACTGCATTGGTTTGTGCTAAACAATTGCGATGAGGATGAGATGAGAAGCTACAAATCATAAGCTTCTGTTCTATTAACTACATTTTCCATAGTGTTATAATATATTTTAACTATTCTAATTATTTTGTCCCATATTCAGTGGATTCAAATCAGAATTGCCTAAAAGTGATTTCAAAATGGAATTTCCTTCATGGTTCAAAGAAAAGGTAACTATGTTATATATTTATAATGTAAAACTAATTTATTACTTAAACATACAATCTTATATTTCCTTACAGATTTATCGTCTCCAAAAAGATATGCCTTCAGAGTGTACTAATGAATTAAAGGCGTTGGCATATGGTCCATTGCGTGCATATTCTTACACTGTGTGCATTGTAAATGGTGTTCGATTTGTCGTGAATAACCATGATCTCCAACGCACTACTTAAAATAGTGGTGTTGTTACATTCGGAGAAGACGGTACACCATTCTATGGTCAATTAGAGGAGATTATAAGTTGCATTATTTATATGATAAATCAGTTGTACTCTTTCGTGGTAAATGGTTCAATGCGTCATTACATAATGGAGGTTTACAAACTATAAATGATATGGTTCTTATCGATACCAGTCATGAATGGTATGTCAGTAAAACGTGGTATGATGATCAACAATACAACTTAGCCACACAAGCAAAACAAGTATTTTATCTCAAAGATCCTACTAAAAACGATAATTGGAGAGTTGTGGAAGAGGTTCATCATCGAAAACTTTGGAATCATCCAAGTATTGGTGTTGTGAATGAGATAGATGTCATGAATGACACTCAATCAACTGATTTTACCTTGGTTGTTGACTTAGGCACCTTGCCTATGCAGACGACTTTAGGTGAAGTTGGTGAATCAAGTGTGGTTGCTAGGAGGAATGTTGATCCTACTATAAACGATGATGATTTCATTAACGATGACAATGACAATGGTGATACGTACTCTTCAGATGAAGAAATAAATAATGAAAAATATGACAGTGATGATGATGTTGTACATGTATATTGTTCTAGTGATGAATCTGATTGACGGTATGCCGTAGTTATTATATATCCTGATTGCTTATAATATTTGTTAAATTTTCAAATGTTGCTTATTTATAATTAGCTTTATTATATATTTTGAATGTTTATAATATTTGTTAAACAGATGGCAGAAGTCATGAGGGGACATGGAGGAGACGGTGGGGATAGATCACTACACGGGGTCGCACGTGGTGTACAATCGGGTTGCCAATCTTGTAAGTTACATAAAATTTTTAAGTATTAAATATATTAAAGTTTTAAATTTCTAATTTTCAATTCTATATGCAAATGTAGCACAAGCGAAGAATGTGAATGTGAATAAGCGTGGCAAAGGGAGAAACTTAAATTTGTATGAAGACTATGAAAACAACAAGCGTAAGCCTTTGGATTTGAGAATTGATATCTCCGGGCGGATGTACCGATTTGTGGGGTACAACGGGCAAATGTTTGTCAGATTGATCTCAAATCTGGTGGGATCACAGGTACCGTTGCATTATCATATTTGGCGTCGTGTTCCTATCAAGTACAAAGATGATTTATATCCCGAGCTAGAAGTAAGTATACAATATATTTTATATGTATTGAATTTTACACTTATTAAATATTTTTTTACTGATCAAATATGTTTTTCCTTTTGCAGACTTATTTTGATCTAAATAGGTACCGGGGCACAGACTTGTGGGAACCCCTTCGAGCGGTTATCCGAGCAGGCATGCAAAGAGCTTATCGAGACCACAATCATGGCATGAAAAAACATTTTGATAGAGTTGATGGGTATAATAATGTGGAAAAGGCAAGAAGATGTCCACCGACTGATTGGTCCGAAGTTTGGAACAAAATGATTGATTTGTTATTTTTGATCGATGAATACAGACGCACGTCGGCCAAAAATAAAACTTGTAGGTCGAAACTTCCGCACACAAGTGTTCACGGATGTAGATCCTATGCTCAACGACGTTATTTAGAGGTAATAAAATATATTAGTCTTAGTTAAAAGTGTTAATAACATTTATATAAATATATTTATTGATTTTTCACTTATTATAGGATGAAATGGAACTCAAGCCGCAACATATTGAGGGTTGGAGACAAATGCGCTACAAAGAAGGTTCGGGTTGGTGTACACGTCGAGTACAAGAAGACTGGGTAAGTGATAAACAAAATAAATGTGTTAATTAAATATATTATTATTATTAGTTATAGTTTTTTGTTTAAGGAATATTATTATTTTTTAATGTTTAAGTTTAGTTGTTTGTTTTAATTAACGTATGTTTATTGTTTTCTTTATTTTATGAGAAAATTCATGAAGAATATGAGAAAATGCAAAGCGAGGTTGGGGAAGGCGGAATAGTAGACGAGGAAGAATGTTTAGAACGTGCCCTTGGGGGGAGACGTGGGCATGCTCGCGGGGTGTGTAGGAGACCAACCGCCAACTTCGGTTTAATTCAAAATGAACGACTTTCCACTTCAAAATCGTCCCAATCTCAATCCCAATTTGATGCACAACAAATGCAAGAATACTTGCAACAATATAATGCATCATTGGCGGCATGTATTCCGCGCTTCCAACCACCACCATTTCCGAACTTTCTATTCAACTATAACACACAAGCAAGTACCTCTCAACAAGTTGCCGAAAGGATGGAAGAAGAATGAGAAGAAGGAGAAGAAGGATACGATTATGATAATGATGGTTGATGTTTTTTTAATGTTTTGAACAATGTTAGCTAACTACTTGAATTTGATGTTTTGAATTTGAACAATGGTACCTATTTAATATATTTCAATTGATATATGTTGCAATGTGTTTTGGATTTGTTAAAAATGCAGGAATAGTAATCTATTAAATCTGTAAAACAGGGAAAAAACAACCGGTAGCTATCCCGACGACATGTCGTCGCTATAGGTATGCCATGGACTCCTGTTAAAAACCTATAGCGACGACTTGTCGTCGCAACAGATTACACCTGTTGCGACGACAAGTCGTCGCTATACGTTTGCCGACGACAAGTCGTCGCGATAAGTAATTAATAAAACTTTATTTTTTTCCCCTGAAAATATGATTAACGAAATCTGTCCCGACGATATGTCGTCGGCATAGGTGAAGCTATCGCGACGACATCTATACCGACGACACTATTGACCTATGCCGACACGACTATACCGACGACATGTCGTCGGCATACTATATACCGACAACATGTCGTCGGTATAGGGTCCGAATTTTTCGTTGCCATAGGGTGTTAATGTTGTAGTGGTGTGCGTGGATTTACCTAATTTACCATTTTTCTTTAGTGTCACAAAAGCCAAAGCAGTTCGAGCACCAGGACCAAACCGCATTCCTTGATTGTTTACATTGTTTCCCTTGTGGCCATGGAGGTACGTCTGCAGTGACTCTAGGGCATGAGACAAAGCTTTATGTTTGCAGCGGGGGATTAGTCGGTGCGCGAAAGCTGGCCCGGAAACCCTTGTTAGGAAAGTTCCATTTCCAAAAAAAAAAAAACTCATCTTCTCCAACCTGAAAACCAGATGATATATGAAATTAGTCAAGATAAACACTTTCATTTATAACTTGGGGAAGATTGAAATAAATATGGTGGATTACCTTTCCAATGAAAGCAGATGAACCACCAAGGTGAGAAATATCTACAACAACATTTGCAGGTGCACCACCAGGTGCTTTTTTAAAGGTAGGAGCTTCAGCTAATGCCAGCCCATTTATTGTAGGGACGAAGTCTATCAACATTTCTCCAAAGCAGACCACAATTGAGGATTCATCGGTTTCAGCTGATCCCTGAGCACTTGCAACACTTTCCCTGAAAGGAAATTAGGTAAAATGTTACCTATTAAAGCATGGCAAGGAATGAAGATTAGAAACGAGATGTAAACTTTTCTTGAATCGTAAAAAACTCTACTTAGTACTTTCTCTTGTTAATTCCTTTCAACTAAGAGATCAGTATTATGTTTAATTTACATCGGATAACATAACAGATTCAGTAATATGAAAAGGCAATCGGCTTAGTAGTGTAAAATCAACAGTACCTGAATGTTCATAAGATGAAGAAGAAAATGGAGTTGATGGCGTTGATGTTAAGCTGTAGGCTTTCACAGAACTACACGATCTCGAATCTGAACTTGACAACCGATTCGAACAAGAAGACGGTCGAAAATTTGAAGGAATAACACTAAAGCAAAGAGCAGAGGACTGAACTAAAGCCATAAATCACAGAATCGATCGATGATTGTGGATCAAACAAATTACCAGAGATCCCAAATCTCAGCTAATAATCAAGTTTCGTGACAAATTAAAAACAACTTGGTAGTAAGGAATAAGAATATCGAATGGAATCTGGTTATTGGAGTTACATTCGCATTGAAATACTCGTATAAAATTCAAGAAAAACAGAAACCCTAGTTCTTATGAGGCCAAGAGATGCGGAGAATGCCAAGGTAGGGAGGAGGATAGTAGTAGTAGTGTCAAGTCAAGTGGGTCCAAACTCCAAAACCAACGCCTTCGATCTTAAAGGCAAATTAACGTCCCGTTCATTATTTAAATAAATTCTTTGCTTTTTTGTAGTCATGAAGCATTACTTTTTTAATCTTCATGCTTAATAAAAACCTCCTTTAAATGCCACTTGTCCATTTTATACACGAGCAAGATGCGACGTGTCGGACTCATAGCCACCTTTTAATTTTGTTTCCCGCTCAAAGTATAATCTACCTTTATCGCGTAATATATATCTCCATTCATTTTGATAACATTCGTTCCTTAAAATCAGCAATACCTTCTTTAATATATCATAAAAATCGCAACAAATCAGCATACAGATCATATCTAAATTTGAATCTGGTTGACTAGGACTTCTTCTATTTCATACATAACTCAAATGCAAAAAGCAATAAATCATCTCAACACCGCCTTTCTATTTACTGTTTCCACCGGTCCACTATTCACAACCGACTGCCCCACTAACATCAGTCGTCCGTTTCGGACCTTCGAAACCCAGACCATTGTATCAGTCATTGTATCAGCCAAATAATAGTCTAAACATAGTAAAATCGTCGCCTTCTTCTTAAACCTAAGGTATGAGCATTCTTCCACCTTATTCTTCTTCTTCTTCGTATCAATTCAATTCTCTTTCTTGGTTTATCCGTCCTCTTGAAAATTTGGAGTTCTTTGTTACATAAATCAAACCCCAGATTTGGGGATTTTTGGATTCTTTTTATTAATTTTCAACCACCTAACTCTAACATAGATTCGGGAAATTGATCAGTTTTGCTTTTTCTTAACAAAGCTGGTCTGTGAAAAGATAATAAAACTAATTTTTGGATTATCAAGATTCTTTTTTGTGTATCAAAGTTGGGAGGATTGAAGATACATACCAACTGTTTGATGAAATGCTTGAAAGAACATGTAAAATTTATTTTGAATTCATGACTACTATGTTATTGATTTGACAGATGAGGTTGGATTCATATTGTGTTTATTGATCTCTAATATTATTTGTCATGCTAACAAACTGGTATCTCATTATTGTGCGTAAGTGTCTTGTGTTTCCTTTATAGAGTATTAGAGTGTTAAGTTGATGTTATATTAACCTTGCTATCACCTTATTATTGTATTGGTTTGCAGATTGGTATGGGTAAGTTTGGCCAAAGAGGAAATTGACTCTCTTTAGTTCTTCAATTAACCCATCTTTGTTTTGGAAACTTCTTTATGTTGCATTCTTGTTTTATTTTTAAAAAATCTAAGTGGGAATACTTTTTCTGCAGTATCGGTTATCATGGTCTATCGGTCTGCCCACGTGAGTTTCTTAATCGACTGGTATTCATTTCAACACTAGCTTTAAAAGAAACAGGTTAATAGTGTTTTCCATAAATGTAAGGTATTTGACCACATTGTGTTTTAGATGCTTAATGATGTTCTTTTTCTTTCCGCATAATGATGTCATTAGTTTGTACAAACACAACACATAAATTAAACATATAATAAATACTTAAGATTTATTTGTTTTATGATGTTATATTAAATAAAAGTCAAACATAATGCAGATCTGTTTGTATTTTTGTGCAATTTATCATGTATATATGTTTAATTCTATTGGTATCTTAGTTATCATGTCTGAAAGTGAAAAAATCCTTTTTATTAAGAACTATATAAAGATTTTATGGATTTATATGCCTTGACTAATGTAATTACTTTTTTGTACTAGGAACCATGGACAATATTAAATGTAATTTTTTACTGAAGTTTCAAAGAAAACGGTGATGATTACATAATATAGGTTATTTGTGGGTTGTATGCTTTCATATCTTCTTGAACATGTTAATATGGAAGGCAAGAGCTGAATTCCTCAAAAGGAAATGGAAAGAAATGAAGATGCAAGGTAGTGATTATTAAAGTCGGTGTTGTGCTAATGCTTGTTCTAATTCATTTCATTGCTTGGAGCTTCAAGAGGAATTAATGTGCAGGTAATTTTTTGTTTGTCTTCCTTATTTTAATTTCATATAACTTTGTCGGCCCTTCCCATGTCTTTGTCATAATAATAACTTTTTCCAATGTTCTTCCCCAAATCGGGTGTTTGTAAGCCCCTCTTCCCTATCTACAAATTTGATTGAACATAACCATTACCAAGTGAAATTTTAGATTTTCAAGTAGGGTTTAAAAATTGTGCATGTATGTCGGAACCTTGCAAGTTCTTTGGCTATCTTATTACTATTTATTGATTTTCTTGTAAAACATTACATACAAACATGTTTAATCAAATATAAAGTAGGTTTTGTGTTCTTACTATTTGCAGATAAACCATCAAGCTTTAATGAACACAAAGATCTTCAATTAGGCCCATATATGTTTTCCACTTCGAAATTAGTCTAAAACTCATAAAATAGACCTGTATTTTTTGTTGATTTGTTGTTGTTTGGGTATCGTAAACTATGACTTTTATTTTATATCCATTACAGTAAGTTGTGGTATTTGTGGTATTGATAGAATCCTCTATTTTCCATCATTCTTCAATTTATCACTATAAAGTGATAACAAAAATTAAATGATTATAACTTCGATCATCCTTTAATATTTAAGCATTAAGAATATTCATTTTCAAAACCAAAGATTTACATATAATTCATTAGTATTTAGTGGGAAATATAAAATTATAATAGTACAAAAATTATAGCGACATTTAATTATATTTTACATTATTTTAAAAAAATGTTTTTTAAAACTTATCTTATACAGAGTAAAGATATATAAACTAAGAATTGATAAATGTTTTATACTTTTTTAAACACCAATTTGTTTACTTTAAAAGAGACAATAGGCTATATTTTTAAACACCGATGTGTGAATTACATATTTATTTGGATAAATGATATAATTTTATATAAAATAAAAGGAGGTAAATATCCTTAATAATTTATTAAAAATAATTGATTAATAATTATGATTTTTTATTATAGAAATTTATTTATTTTTTAACCGTAGTTTCTACGGGTTATAACCTAGTAAAAATTATAAAACATGATAAATGGAATAAAACTATTATCATCCATACATTTTTTTCTTTCTTATAAGTTATTAGAAATAATAAACATAGATACAATGTCATAGCCAAATATTATGCGGAGCATATGGCGAAATTAACAAAAAAAAAAAAAAGGATAAAAATCATTTATTTCATTATCAAATTATATCCGAACCAAAATAAGATACATGTAACACATGCAAAGTTAATGAACATACTAACACACATTTTTATTAATACCCATCTATAATAAATATTCAAATGAAGTTATCAAAGACCTCTGGAACCAAGAACATTAGCCCACTCTAGTTGAATCTCAATTTCACCGGATACAATATTTCGTAATCGAAGAACCAATTTTTGGATAACTTTTCCATTTCTCGATTTTATGTGGCTCTCTTCAGCTATACAGTTGTTCCTGGTTGGTTTTACAGTTGTAATGATTGTTTCATTTGGAAGATCATCAAAACCCATTTTTAATGCTTCGAGGAACGGATTAATATCAAACTAGATGGGAATCATGCACGCCATTGGCGCTGTGTCGTTTTATTTTTTCTTCTTGCAGGTCCGTCACTTCGCATTATGAATAAGTTTTTCAGATTTATTTTGTGCTTATATCGTACAAATGTTTTAATATAAAGTTATGTACACGAAACCAAATCTAAACCCTTATTAGAACCCTAGAAAGTCTACTTTCATCATATTCAACCCCCTTTCATGCTAATCTCTCTTTCATTTATCTGTATAGCATAATAAAATTAAGATTGTGCAACCTTGTAGCAATTGGTATAGCATTAAATCAAGAAAATTACACGCCTTAAATACCTATTTTGTTGCACGCCTAAAAATGTAGCCAGTTAATCTAAGCATGTCCATTTTTATCCATTGCCCCGAAGATCTTCTGTTTCTGGCAGAAAAATTGATAGTTAGTTAGTATACAAACAAAAAAATCTCCAATTATTAAAGCTCAAGAACTATCAACTAAAATGCGCAAATTATTATTAAACATTTTTTTGTGGCATCTTGATTACCAAATAACAAAAGATTAACCGATTATCGTTTTTTTCATTCGAAACTAATAACTAAATTCCAATTATATAAATTATTTGTTAGTTCAGCAAGTAACAAAGATTTTAGATTGTTGATAATCTATTAAGATATCTATAAAATTGAAACTGTCTTTCTCGACATGTAGCAATCATGTAGTATGTTTCGTGGTTTGAATGTGATATACATGTAGAAATTTCATATCTTGATTGTTCATTATAGTTACAATATATTTATAAATTCAACCCTATGCAAATCTTACTACAACACATTAAAAATATTCCAGTTTCACTCGCCCAAGTAAAGTAACATACTTTGCTTAGAGCATATAATGAATGGTGCACCAACACCATATGTATAAAAAACCAAAATTACCTTCTTGTCCTCCAAGAACATAAAAAGGTATATTGGCAATCATCTTTGTTCTCCCTTCACTCCAATTGATCATTCCCGGCTTCTGTATCGACCCACTTGATGGTCCTGTGGGCACAAGCACAGACAGACAGAATATTCTCTCCAATAGGAGATCTAACCTACTGCAATTCAATAATATTAATATAAAATAATAATAGACAAGAATTGTGTAAGTTAAAATTATTATTGAAACCAAACCTAGATGATAATTCTCCCAATTGGTCACGAATAGCTCCACCAGCTTTTGCTAGAACATGCAAAACACCTTTCCTTGATTACTTCATTCTCATCTTCAAGAAGATGGACCAAATCTTTTTCAGACCCAGTAAGCAATGATGGCCTGAAGGATGCAAGGATCTGGAAATATATCATATTTATGTCCAGATTATAACAAACAACCACTATCACTATCAATAAGATATTAATATTACCACAAGTAAATTCATGCAAGATTGAGATAGCAGTTTGTTTCCGGAAGATTTGTGTAGGTCCACCTCCAACAGAATATCTTTAACATAATCCTTGTTAAACAATATGTATGAGCATTTCATAGACAGACTGCTCAGAATTCCATAAACTGGATGCTTCTGACCAACAATCTTAAGCAATTCATCCTGTAAAAACCATTTCATATTCTTTAACTACTAAATTCTCAGATTAAATGCATTTCTTTTTATTATAATCTGTTAAATTTCTCAAAAAAGAAAAAAAAAAAAAAGTACAATGCTATAAATAGGTAGATTTTTCAAAGTGCACCGCCTTAATAAGAAAACAATGAACTTTATCATATTACAATGAAATGAAAATTGGATTTTATTTCATGCAAAGAATTGAGTTTTATTACCCGTGATTTGAAAGTTTGAAGAGAATTAGTATTGGGAATATCAATTATCGGAACTGCTTTGTAAAATGACCAAACTACCCCTCCCCCCCCCCTCCAAAAAATAAAAATAAAATAAAAACTAAACTAACCTTGCCTAATGACACGCGTGCCCTCGGGAGTACTTCGCGATGGTATGTTGCAATCTTAGCTATTGCGGTCACAACAAAACAAAGAAGCTTTGATTGTAATGATCTTCTAACAGTCGAGCTAATTGATCCAAGAACCGAATCTCCTACACCAAGACGGCTTAAAGAGTATATATATTTTAGAAGGGTATTTTGGGTATTTGAAAATTGTTTACTATGTTGATGATGAAGAGCATTTGTGGCATACCTTGATGAAAGATTTTCATAAAGAAGCAATTCTAGCCTCTCGAAAAGTTCACGGGCTGTGTCTTTGTGAGATGCACCACCCCCTCCATGTTCCCCAATGGCCCAACATAATTGTAATGCCAAGTCGGTCTGTTGTAGAGGGGTATTTTGGGTATTTAACATATAATGTAAATGACAAACATACATTGGACTTATAATCCAAATGGTATATATATATATATATATATATATATATATATATATATATATATATTATAGAAGGGTATTTTGGGTATCTTACTTATAATATAAATAAATGGTAAAATTTCATTGATAATACATAGTACAGAAGGGTATTCTGGGTATTTTACTTATAATCTTACATACTATAGAATGGTATTTTGGTTTTTTTTACTATTACTAATAATTTAAAGGGTAAGCATATGTACATACTATAGAAGGGTATTTTTGGTATTTAGCTTATAATATAAATGAAAAACATACATGCTATAGAATGGTGTTTTGGGTATTTGAATTATAATCTAAATGGTAAATATACATATTATATTATTATTGAAGGGTATTTTGGGTATCTGACTTATAATCTAAATGGTAAACATACATTGATAATACATGGTACACAAGGTTATTTTGGGTATTTCAATTATGATCATACCTATTATAGAATGGTATTTTGGGTTTCTTACTTATAATTTAAAGGGTAAACATACATACCATAGAAGGGTATTTTGGGTATTCGTATAATTTTAAACACTGACCTTTTCAGGACTATCATAAGCTTCTCCAAGCCTATCTACTATGGGCTGCTGCACAAGTACAAATGGTTGACAAATATTTTTAACACAAAAAAAATATTCAATAAGAAAATACTAAACCAAATTATAAAAAATATTTATGCAGAATAATACCTTGAGAATTGCAACGAATTCAGGGGATTGATGAAATGCAGCTGATATGAAATTCAAAAGCCTCTTTCGCACCTATATAATATTATATAACAAAAAAATAATAAAATAATAAAATAATAAAAAAAAAAAAACCAGATCTGTCACGGGAAATGATCACAGTTCTTCGGACAGCTGACTGAAAAATTATATAAATGAAATTAGAATTACAAAGTGGAATTACTTCAATTAAATTTTAAAAAAAAAAAAAAAAAAAAAAAAAAAAAAAAAAAAAAAACTATAAAGTACGAACTTATGAGGGTGTTTGAGATATACCTTCAAGGCACTGATTCAAAGAACTACAATTCAAAAAGTTAGAAAAACATTTTTATTTCGGACCAATCATTCAATTTGAAGAACAGTAAAGCACCAACAAAACCTGCAACTACACAATAAAATCAATTAAACAACTGAATATAGACAACCTGTCGAAATCATCGAATACAACCATATATCTGGAACGACTCAGCTAAAGCGTGACAAAGCATCTAATTTAGTCCTTGCAGCTACAAATTAAAAGCATCTATAAATTAAGTAATAGTTGGGATTTCCACAACTAACCAAACAAATCAGTTGATCCGAAATCAGTATCAAGAAAACACAGTGGAAGAGGTAAATTAACACTTCTGATTGATCCTACCAGTTTTGTCGATGTTTGATCTCAATCTTAAAGCCCCATCAATGGCAAAGTCTAGTGGTCCGTCCGCTTCCCCTTTTCATCTTCACACAGGAATTTGATAGAAAGATGAGTACAAAATCAAATTCGAAGAGGGACCTTACCTGAGATCGACAACTTCTAACAACATATGGAGATCAGAAATTGGAAAGCAACGGAAGAAAGACCACAAAATTAGAGCAGTCTAAATAAAGTCGGTGGTGGAGGACAAAAACTGTAACCAGGTTATTGGAGGGAGTGTGTGCGGTGGCAGCGGTGGACGTAATAACGATGTAGCAAAGGTGGAGACAACATATTAGGTTGTCGGGTTTCTCTGGTGTTCAATGGAAGGAAAGGTCAAATAAGGGTTTATTCTTCACGTCAGCAATCACCAAACATAACGCAAGCAATGTTTTACTGGCAATCCTCCACCCCAATCGTTCTCGTCCCCTACCCCTGCGCTATGACTAAATAGAATAAAATTTGTAATCACAGGTGAAAAAGACAAATGAATTGAAATCTAATGAGTAAAGAGGCGGTAGCGGTACCTGAAATGTTTGTCAAACCCAAAATCCAACCCTAATCTTTGCTTCCTCATCGATAGCTTTTATAATCCTGTTGACCACCTACAATACTTGGGTTTTCTCTTTGCTTACAATGACCAATATCATCATAAGAAGGCAAAAAAGTCGATTTTGAGGAGAAATCAGTGACGCCAAATGAGAAGAAAAACGACGCTTGGAATGGAACAATCCCGACATCACGTTGTAACTATGTTAAAGTAACAACAGGTTGAGAACATACCTATAAAAGAAACAGAGAGAACGGCCGAGGATATGAACGCGGCAGCACAAGAGAAAGGAAAAGGAAGAACAAAGAAGAAAGCAAGAGGAATTATCATCGCAGCATGAATTGAAGCCATTTGAAATCAGAATTTCCATACGAGCCATTTCTCTCCCTTTGTGAACTGTGAAGAAGAAGGAATTAAAGAAAAGCGAGACAAATAGTATTGGACAAGGAGGGCGGTGAGCGGTAATCAAAGCAGATAAGAACACAAAAGAAATAGGGGCGTTACAATGAAAAGAAGAAGTTTTATGTAAGGCGGTTTGTATTTCTACTGATAAATAAAAGTTTCAGTGGCAAAATAAAAGAGTCAACAAACTTCCGTGTCATATATAAAAGAGAAAAAAAAGTTACTGTTCACCAACCTTTTAAGGATTAATAGTATATATAATTTTGCATCCCCCAACTCATCATCTTTTGAAAATGTATCTTTATCATAGACTTCCTACAATATTACATACATCCAAGTATCTAGTTAATATATATGCTCATATGATAAAGCCAAAAAAATATTATTATTCTGAAACAATAATATTTTATAAAACAGACTGAAATTTGAGAAATAAATATAAAAGTATAAAACTGAAGAAAATTACCATTTTGATTGGGAGAGGTTCAAACATGGCAAGAGTTAAAACTTCATCCCACACAGGATTGTTGTTATTCCTCACCACTTTAGTTTTCACTTTCTGCATATAAATATATGATAAAATTTCGATTATTTAAAATCTAATAGATAAATATAAAATCACCATTAAAAATATTATTTGATTATTTAGCTTTAGATATAAAATATGTCTGTTCTTAGTTCTTTCATTTGCAATAATACTTTTATCGTATTATTTATCATAAGATTTAAAAAAAAAACTGTGATCTCTACTTTTCTTGTTAAAAAAGTGTATAACTTACAATTAATAAGATAAGCCAAATAGTAAAAGAAAAGAGAATTAGATATTCAGTTTTTTAGTGCCTGATATAAATATCAAAAAGAGAGAAAGCACCCTTTAGTCAATCAACAACCGCCGGAGACAGAATACTGATCAATATACAGAAACCTGCAACCACCACCACTGCCACCGATGTATTCAACAATTTCACATAGATGGTGGTGGTGGGAGGGCGTATCTTAGCAGTGTAAAATTTTTTGATCGAATAAAAGAGGAAGAAGAAGAAGATGATGAAGAAAAACTTGACCTGATCACCCAATTTGAAAATGATGTAAGGGTCGCTGCTCCAAATATCTCGAGATGCAAGGTTTACTCCTTTGTGTACATGAATGCTTAACAATCCCAACAAGGACTCCATTGAAGATCGATATATGTGTGTTTGTGAGTGATTTCTGAAAGTTTTAGCCTACAAATTTGTGAGGATCAGAGCAATTGGGGAGGGAGATATGGTGGAAGATGTCCTTTAGACCAAACAAAAAGAAGCATCCAATTATTTTGTTTTAGTGAAAGTAATAGATTCTGATAAATACTTGTAATAAAAGTGACTTCAATGAGAAATTATTTTAGATGTGTTTGTATTGTTTACACTTCACAGTTATATTAATTATTTGTTCGAATGTGGTGATTATTATTATTATTTATTTATTATTATTTTTTACAAGTTTAATAGGCACAACTTAAAAGATTAAAAATTGCAAAGTTGGCTAACACATAAATTATCACGATGTTTGTAAAAATAACCCCACGATTATTAAATATTAAAGTAATTGACCTTTTTTGGATTTACCTAAATTACCATCGTGTCCCAGAAAGTTGCCTCTCAAACTGAAGGCCTTCGTAGGTTGTGTTAATAAAATTTGGAATTTCTTAAAAGAATTGAAGTTCAAAAGTTTTGAAATTCATAACAATTCAATTTTAATCATATGTTTGGTTAGCAGAACTAAAATTGATTTCAGTTCTATTATTTTTAATATTTCTGCTTGGGTTGTACTTTTGTGAAAGGATTTAGAATTTAAATAGCGACAAATGATAAAACCTCATTTTATTCAATTTCTTATAGAAAACATTTTTAAATTTTTATAAAACTATTTTAATGGAGTGATGTCAATGCATTTCATGGTGCTTAATAGCCACCTCGATGCCATCTTATATTTGCATATTACTTTTTTGTTTTTGCAATAAGAAGGAAGTTGTGCATAAACTTAAAATCTCATTAATTTAAATTAAAAATACATAACAAGAAATTATAAATTCTAAACATAACACTAACTACGTAAGCAAAAATAAATAAATTCCTTCAATCGGAATTTCCTCCTCCAAATCCCAAAGCCAAATCCCTAATGTAACAACCCAAAAATCGGATAAAATTTTTCATTTTAAAAATAGATATTACAGTCATAATTTGTGTTCCAAATCATTACATAGTAACCATATCAAATTATCAGAGTGACAACATCAGTAAGTGCGGAAAAATGGTGTAGAGTGAATGTTGTGTCATCAATCGGTCTCTTCCATTTAGTACCGAAAGTACCTGAAACACCAATACAAACTGTAAGAAAAAGTTTAGTGAGTTTCCAAAATACCACATAACATACAATCACAAAACACCACGCAACATACATATGAATGTCATAGGCTACCCTTATGGTCTTTCCCATGGAATGACATGGGCTACCCCCGTGGTCTGATATCCAAGTGTCATGGGCTATCTCCATGGACTTCCATGCCATGGGCTACCCCCAGGTTCTTCCATACAGGTGCCACGGGCTACCCTCGAGGTCTTTAGACAAGTAAACACATAGACAACAATCATTTCCACATGTCAAGTAATATGTTGAATTTGGTGCCTTCGACCCATTGGTATAGTGAGAGACTCACCTCGGTCTGCTGATAAATACTAACTGCTCAGCTACCAATCTGACAATCTCACACCGAATATACACAAATTACCCTAATCATAATTATGACAAAAACGTAGATCATGGCCCCAAAATCCCTAAGTCCAAACTCCTTAAATAAGGCCCCAAATTCTTTCTCCTTTACTGGGCCTAACTATTCATGGTCTAAAAGCAATTACAGGCCATAAGGCCCAAAAGGACCAAAAATGCCACCTAAGGTCCATTAGCAAGTTCAAAGGCCCAATCCTCTCTAACATATCAAGACCCAAAATTTAAATAGGGCCCAAACACCTCAAAATCCCAACACAAGCCCAAAAGCTCACTTGGAGTGTATACGGGGCGTAATCCATGAACACGCAGTGTACTGGCCCGCCATGCGGTACAGACTGTCACACCCCCGGACCAGAACGGCGGAAACGTCCGGAGGCGGGTGACATCATTGTGCAGTATCATAACAATTGTATATTATTGAAACATAGTAAACCCATACATCATACATTAATAACACAAGCTTACATTATTTTACATCATGTTTATGTTTTAAAGTTTACACAAAAAGAAAGATCAGTAAACAAATTTCCAAAACACAACAAATTAATCTTGAGTCCGCGATCCATAACCTGCTTATTGATTTCCTAAGAATACAAGTCATTTGAAAAGCATCAACATAAAATATATTGGTGAGTTCATAAGCGTTTTCGTATAAAAACTTCGGTAATGGTTTAGAAATCCAGAAAATCAAATATTTTCTTATCAAAATAGTTGTGAGTCTTGCTTCAATTCGAATATAGTTGCATGTGTACCTTAATTCATTGATTTCGAAATTGTAATAAATCGTTTCTCCCAGAAAATCCTATATTTTCTGAAGTATATAAAAATAGTAGCTTTCATAAAATCTTAACACTTGTGCGGAAAAGGTTTCGTTGAGATATTCAAAACATAGTTGATTTTAAGCCGAAAGTGAATTTTGTAAAAACACATTTCTGATATATTCTATTGAGTCGTTATAACCATGATGATATGACAGAGTGCTTGTTATGACATTCTTCAGGCATCGGTTTTGTTCAAGATATTTGTCACCCTAGACTGGTTGGTCTAGCTGTAGCGAACAACGAAGGTGCGAGGTGTCAATCCCGTATAGATATATACACAAATTTCCGTTCTCCCTCCAGGAGACTCTAGTTATAACTCTTACAAGACTTAGAGTGTACTATATTGTATTAACATATGTACTGTGAAGATTTGTCTGACTAGAATACTAACCGATCTTTGAGCAATTCGTTAAAATCATTATTTACTAAATAAATAATAATAGTCATGGTCGTAACTAGATATTTCGTTTCGTTCGTTTACTTTGTTGGAATCAATCCACTTTGAAATATTTATCATAATAACCCGATATTATCAAAGCCGGCAAGTAGTCCCTTTTTCTTTATAAAAGACTATGTATGGCTCAATTTATCGGAAAATGCCAAGTTGTGATGTATATATACACCTGTCGCTCCGCGTCTCGGAATCGAGTCTCCCACCTCACCTGCCTTATGTGGAACTCTCGGATAACCTCTCGCATCTCCTGCTCTGCCCGCTCAACCCTAGTCCACATCTGGTGCATCTGATTGGCAGTGCTCTAAGCCAGATCGCTAATATCTCGCAATTATCTCACCACGACTGGAAGTGCGCGATCAGCCAGTCCTCCCTCCCTCAAGTCATAGAATCCACGTGTCATTCGAAACGGGAGTCACTGTCCCTACTTCCTGCTCCACCTCCAAATATCTATACCCCAGGGAGGTATAGGGCCAGCTGGGCCTGTCCAATGAACAGCCACCCTAATCGGGTAAGGGGGTTGATGACTTCGGACTCCGCGTTCGAATCACCGTCATCGTCATCATTGGGTTCTTCCTCGCCCCCCC